TCTTTGTGTATTTGTTTTTACCCTCTGTCTCTCTCTCTCTCTCTCTCTCTCTCTCTCTCTCTCTCTCTCTCTCTCTCACTGTGTGTGTGTGTGTCTCTATCTGTGGTTCAAGTATGTAATGAGTGTCTATGTGTGTACATGTTGGTATATGTGTGCCTACTTTTGGATACAGTTGATGTTCAGTTTCTTATTTATTCTCTCTTCCTTATTCCCTGAACCTAGAAAACTTTGATTCACTAAACTGATTGGCCAATGAGATTGGCCAGGGATCTGCCTGTCATCTTAGCACTTGGTATTCCCACACTCTGTATACCCAGCTTTCTTTTCAAGGTTGATGTTTGTATATATATATATATATGTGTGTGTGTGTGTGTGTGTGTGTGTGTGTGTGTGTGTGTATCCCATATACATCCCACATATATCTCACACATATGCATCTAACATATACACATTCCACATATATCCCATATATATCCCCCCACACACATATATATTCTCTCACAGGAAACACTTCACTGGTCAAGCTGTCTCCCAGTTACCCACATCTCTTTACTATGACCTTTACCCTGAGAAAGAATACCTTATTTCTTTCTATTTTATTGATTCTTAGGTCAATGAAATATATAAGTATTTGAGCTATATAAATATTTACATATATAAAAATATTTGATCACTTTTATTTTTAGTATAATTTTACAAAAAGCACTTATGTAAATTCACTTTTTTCTATCATGTTTCTACATCTTTAAAATTGAAGATATAAAATAGCACCATTTCCTTCAATGGTGCTGATTTGAAATGTTTACTAAATATTTAATAAAGTATTATTATTTGTTCATTAATACATTGTTTGCATTTTGGCAAATAGATGTTTCCATTTCTTCTAAGAAACTATTTGTTGGTGTCCAATCCTGTTCTAGCCCTGGCTGAGGAAACTAACAATCATTGCTTTAGTTATTTCATCACTTTTTCTTATTTTGATCAACATCCTCTTCTGTAAGAATAAACCTATCATTCTAGAAGAAAATATCAAATGACATAGAAGGTCACTGGAAGAATGAGAGTCAGCAAATGAAGTTGGTCAATGACAAATGTATTATGATAGTTATTAAATTAACCCTGCACTTTATTTATTCAGAAGAAATATCAGAAAAAAATGTTCATGTTACTAGAGACTGGAGTGTTGCCAAGTATGATGCTGGTATGCGGGAAGGTACAAGGATTATTTTGAGAACTCTGATAAGTTTAGTGCAAATGAAGCAGACAGAAACATAAATATATAACATCAAATTGTGATTTTGAGAGTACTTTGATATTACCATTGAGAGACACAATAAATTATGCCCTTAATTTTCTTTTATACTTAATCATTGTCATTAGATTGAGGGTGCTAAGTCAAGGGAATCATATTATTTCCTACATGTAATAGCAGTTATCATTTTTCCAGTTCTTCAGATAGGTTTGGAAACCTGACTTTTTTCATATAAATATGTCAGAATTAGTGTTGACTTAAAAGAACATTATGAATTATGTTTTATCTTAAAATCTACCATTTTTGTCTTTACAGTAGAAACCTTTGGAAGTTGGCATAGGCTGGATTAGGGATCTCTTCATGGAGAATACAAACAGTAGCTGGTTCCAACCCACTACCCTTCTTCTTACAGGCATCCCTGGACTAGAAGATGTGCAGATATGGTTCTCTATCCCCCTATGTGTCATGTACCTAATTGCCCTTCTAGGAAACTGCACCATCCTCTTTGTTATCAAAACCACCTCCATCCTGCATGAGCCTCAGTACATCTTCCTGTCTATGCTGGCAGCTACAGACATGGGTCTGTCTGTATCAACTCTGCCTACAGTATTGAATGTCTTCCTCCTGGATCACAGAGAAATCGAGTTCCACTCTTGCTTGACACAGATGTTCTTCATTCATACCTTCTCTTCCATGGAGTCAGCCATCCTACTGGCCATGGCTTTTGACCGTTTCTTTGCAATTCGTAATCCATTACACTATACTGTGGTTTTAACATCCCCTCGGATTATCAGAATGGGACTTGCAGCTGTTGTTAGGGGTGTGATGTTAATGATACCCTTGCCCATTCTGCTCAAAAGGTTGCCATTTTGTAAGGGTGTCATCCTATCCCATTGCTACTGCTACCATCCTGATATCATGAAGCTGGCCTGCGGTCCTGTCAGGGTCAATATCATCTATGGATTGTCTCTAGTCATCTGTTCCTTTGCAGCTGATTCTGTATTTATTGTCATCTCTTATGTCTTGATTTTAAAAACAGTGTTGGGTATTGCCTCAGGTGATGGTCAACTAAAGGCGCTCAACACCTGTGTCTCCCACATCTTCACCGTCTTTATATTTTATGTACCACTCATTGTCCTGGCTCTAATTCACAGGTTTGGTACATTTACATCTCCGCTGCTCCATGTCACCATGGCCAATCTCTTCCTCTTCTTGACTCCAGTTCTGAATCCCTTGGTATATAGCTTAAAAACCAAACAGATAAGGTATGCAGTGTGTAAAGTGTTCAAAACTAGAGGAAACTTGCTCAAATAGTTGCATATGGCTGTAGAGAAGGTGACACTTCACTTCTCTCCCTGTCATCTGCCTGCTTCTCGGGAACATACTTTTATTTCAAGGTATAATAATGTGAGAACTGAGATATTCTTGTCTTCTAAGAAACACATGAACTATACAAAATTTGAAGGAGGTATGAAAACCAAGTAAATGCTATTCATCGTTTAAAAACAAATGCAAACTTAGCTAACATAATGGGGGAAATGTCAGTTTTTGATTTTTAATGTATTTTTAAACTTTAATATAAAACACTGAAAATAAAATTGTTCTTTTAAATTTTGAATTATCATTGTAAAGAATGAAAGTCAGCAGCATATCCAGAGATGTGGGAGTAGGACAGATATTATACTTGGAAGAAGTAGAGTATAATAATAGAAGTTCTTCTGGGGAAGCATGACAAAGGTCAGTAAAAAGAGTGGACCCCTGAATGTACATCAACTTTTACATTTATTTGTGTAATTAATAAATAAACTTGATTTATATGCTGAACCTAATAAGATTGCTATTCCAAGCCATTGTAGTACTTTGCTTCAGATGGACAATGCTCTCGCTCTGATAGCACTCTTGCAATACAGTTATTCTGATGATATTTTAAGAAATAATTCCATGTACATAATTTAAAATTATCCAGTGCTTGGCTATTGTTAGAGTTTTATATTTAACATCTACTATAGAGGGTATTTCTTTTGCTATTTTTTTCTGTTATATTTTTGTAAATATTTTTCTCCCTTTTATTTTTCTCTCACACACCATGCACATGATCAGAGAATATAAGGAAAACCCAACCAAAATAGTCTCTACAATACTTAGAGCATCATGTAATGAGGCATTAAAATTCTGATACCTGATATATGTTTCCCAATAGCAAGTGGGTACTTTTCCAGTGAATATTAGTTGAGTGTCCTTTGATTTAACTAAATTCTGATATTGTCTACTGAGAGAGCATCAGGCACAAATAATTAAGGGCTAAATCGTGTATGACTATTCCAATGTAGGGGTCACTGGGCGAACAATGAAATTCTAATCATTGGAATTTTGATTGAACTCTTAGCAGTTACAGAAGTCTAACTACCATTAGTTCAATTATTAAATTACAATTAAATACTTTATAAAGGAAAGGAAAAACTATACTACCAATCATAAATAGAAGCAGGCAAAAAATGTCTTGAATTATAGCTCTGTTCTGAGAACCTAAGATTATTTGGTAAGATTAGAGTATGAAAGAAATAGCAGGTAGGTTGGAATATAGAGAGCTTCACATATACATTTGGTTAAACTTGTCCAAACAACAGACATTGTGTTACTAATTTGGAAATAAAGATTTAACACAATCATATTTGTTTAAAAACACTTTTAAGAACACTAAATGCCAGTTTAAACTCCAGGAAAGGTTAGATATTTGGAACTCAACTCCACATTACATAAAGAGAAGAATCTGGAATGCTTAAATTAGTGAAGTTGATATTGAGATGCAGAAAAGTGAAAGCATTTAAGATGAATTCAGGAAATATGAATGAATGATATTAATGAAGACAAAATTTAAGAGATATGTAGGGATAACTCTGGAAACATAAAAATAGTTATTGTGTGCAGAGGGAATATGGGGATTTGAGAGGAAGATGCATTTGAAAAAGTTCATAAATTTCACTTTGGTTTTCATGGATTTGAAGGCTATAGTTACAAAGAATATATTCATGGGTGCACACCCATCTGAACATCAAAAGCAAGCCTCTCAAAATGATTATACAGGTGTTCTGTAACTGTGAACTAAACCAAAGATACAAAGCTAGTTAGCAATGTTGTGTTCTATAGAAAAGCAGAACATTTTTTTTCTTCTAAAGGATGTGAATGATAATATGTTTTGGGAAATAGATGCAAAATAATTCTCTAATTGACTGCTATGACCTACACAGTCCATAGGAGGGGCAGTCAAAATGGTCTAGGAAATGCATATGAACCTTTGTTCATATGGAGATAGTGCAAGAAAGGAGGGGGGTATTTTATTAAATACAGAAGGAAAGAGAACAAAGCAGATAGCAAAAGAATAGGACTGAATATTTAATGGTTTTTGATTTTTAAAGTTCTTTAATTATAACTCTCATTTGCATCTATAAAAATAAAGTGATCTTATCCATGGATAGATGCTAACATAAAATATCCAGCAAAGAAACATTCTTTTTTTTACTGTTTAGTTTATGAAGTCTATCAAATCACACCCTACAAAATATAGGAGAATATGTAATTTTTGAGTATTTAAATACAACATCCTCATTCATAAAAGCTATACCTCACTTTCATATCTATATACACATTTTAGGTGTAAAAATACAACACAATAAACAGCATGTTAACTGTGAAATTGAGAATTGTACATTCCTTCACTGAAGCTATCTACATTAACTTTTCAAATTGATCATCTTATCTGAATCTTCCAAGACTTTCTTAGTGCAGAACGTATCTGCTTGGTCTTCAGGCTATATACAATTGGGTTGAGCATCGGTGGCATAAAGAGGTAGATATTTCCCAGGACTGCATGTGCTATTAGAGAACTCTTGTGACTGATTCGATGCATTACTGTTATTGCCAGCAAAGGGCCATAGTAAATAAAGACAATAAATATATGAGACAAACAAGTGTTTAGTGCCTTCATCTGACCTTCTCTGGAAGCAATCCCCATGACTGCATGGAATATCAGAGCATAAGAAATGGCTATGAGCAGAAAGTCTACCCCAAAGGAAAATATAACCAAAACAAGTCCATAGAAAATATTGATTTTGACTTGGCCACAAGCTAGTTTCATGACATTTGGGTGAATACAGTAGGAATAAGACAACATCTGTCCCTTGCAGAATGGGAGCCTCTTGAGCAGAATAGGTAAAGTAGTCATAAGTACTACACCCCTCAGAAAGGCTGCCAGTCCCATCTTGGTGACACGCGAGTTGGTAAGTATTGTGGTGTATTGCAAGGGGTGACTGATGGCCACAAAGCGGTCAAAAGCCATAGCCAACAGGATTCCTGAGCCCATGGAGGAAGATGTATGGATGAAAAACAGCTGAGCAAGGCAACTATCAAATGCAATTTCATACAGGTCAAAGATAAAGACTTTTAACACTGAAAAAAGTGTGGAAACAGACAAGACAATGTCAGCTCCGGCCAACATAGACAAAAAATGGTACTGGGGCTCCTGTAGACTCCGTTCTGTCCTCACTAAGTAAATTACAGTACAGTTTCCTGCCATTGTGGTTATGTACATCAGGCTTAGGAGTGGTCCTAGCCACAGGCGGGCGCCCACCAGCCCTCTGAGACCAGTGAGAATGAAGAGAGAAGGCTGAAATGTGGTATTGAATTCAGACATGGGTGACTGTGAGAACCACTGTGCAAACAGTTTCTTCAACATTGAAACCTAGAAAAAAGCAAAAGTTAGACATCAAAGTCAGGAATTTGAATTTAGGAAGTTCCAATGAGCATTTGTGAAGGACAGTAAAGGATGAAGAGCTTATTGGTGGTAAGATGAACTTAACAGCTATACCAAGGAACAAATGTTCTCCTGAAGACTACCTTGAGGATAAACAATCCTTTTAATTACTAATCTCCATGTAGAAATGACCCAGTTAAGATGTCAATAAAAATGAATAGTACATTTGGTGTTCAGCCCATTCCCAAAACCAGCTAGAGCCAAGAGCTTAGGATGAGAACGATGAGACAGCAAATACAAGTAGAAGTACTTTTAAAAAGAATTGCTTCAAAGTCTTAACAGATAGCAAACGAACATGGGCTGGAGTAATGGCTCAGTGGGCAAAAGAAGCTGCTGTGCTCACATAAGGACCTGATTACAAATACCCAGATCCATGTAAAAAGCAAAGCACAGTGACAGGTTTCAGTATCCTCAGCATTTTGGCAGAGAGAAGCAGGTAAATGGCACTTACTGGCTACAAGCCATCTTCAGGTTCAGAGAGAGACCTGAATTCAATTCAAGGGAATTTGGTGGAGAGTAATAAAGCTGGACAGATAACACCATTCTCAATATTCTCTGTGTGTATAGTGCATGAACATACATGTTCATGGCTACATATACAATTATAAAACAGAAAAAGTTACCCTGGATAGCAGAGTACCCAGTACCTCTCTCTCCCTCTCCCTCTCCCTCCCCCCCATCTCTCTCTCTCTCTCTCTCTCTCTCTCTCTCTCTCACACACACACACACACAATCACACACATAGGTGTGTGTGTGTGAACACATATTTGTGTCTTGAGATACAATCATTTTTCTAATGTATTCAACCAATGCTGAAATGTAACTCTGTTGACTATTTCATTTTTGACCTATTGTTTGACTCTTCTCTTAATTAATCAAGTTCTTTTTACACAGCTTAAAATATAGACAAAAGTTCCTTCATCATAGACCTGAATTCACATTCTAAAAGCATGTTGTTTGTATTCATTAAATGTTATATAAATATATTTAAATGCATGAGAATATATATATATATACCTATAATAATTAATACAGTAATTTAATTATTTTAGTGTACATATATACTATTTTTGTTTATTTTGAATTTTTATTTGGTTATGTTTTGCATTTTTTACTTATTCAAGACAAGGTTTCTCTGTGTAACAGACATAGCTGTCCTGGAACTAGTTCTTGTAGACCAGGCTGGCCTTGAATTCATAGAGATCTGTTTGCCTCTGCCTTCTGAGTGCTGGGATTAAAGGCATGTACCCCCCCCCCAGAAATTTTGATTTTTATATAAAAATATATGTTACTTGATTGATCTTGACCTTCTACTTTTTTAACTAAATAATAAATGAACAGAACTTAAGAAAGAAACAGCACTGAATCAACTAAACAGTGCACATTTAGGCTCACAGAGACTGAAGCAGCAAGCACTGGGCTAGCATGGGTCCACATGGGTCATCTGAGTATATGTTGTGGTTGTTAGCTTGGTGTTTTTGTGGAACTCCCAACAGTGCGAGTCGGAGTGCCTCTGACTCTTTTGTCTGCTCCTGGGACTCTTTTCTTCCTGCTGGGTTGCCTTGTCCAGCATTAGTGTGAGGGCTTTTACCTAGTCTTATTGTATTTTGCTTTGTCATGCTTGGTTATGTCTTGGAGGCCTGCACTTTTTTAAAGGGAGACAGAGGGGAGTAAATCTAGGAGAGAGAAGAGACAGGGATGGGGTATAGGGGGTGAGGACGTAGGAGGTTGGGGTTGGAATTAAGAGAGTTGGAGGAGAAACTGGGATTAGAAGGTATTTTATGAGAGAAAAATCTATTTTCCACTAAAAACGACATCTGGGAAGAAGGAGAAAAGGTGAAGAAATTTAGTAATAATCCAGGAAATTTTAATAAGAAAAAGTAATTTCATGACGTTATTTAAAAACTCCACAGTTTTAACTAGTTTCTATTACTCAAAAATATTGACCTGGATAAATAAAATATATAACTTCAAATAAACTAAATATATTTTAAAATAATATTATAGAAGATGAAATATCAAGAAAATCATCTACATGAAAATTTTTGTCTCCATTTTAATCTCTTCTTTAACTGCAGATAAATGTTGATTTTCCCTTCACATTTTCAATACATGAAAATCAATTAAACATAGAATAAAGTGTCCATTCATCTAAAGAGTAAGTTCTACCCTTTTCTACAACAAAGGAGAAGAGAAGTAGGTAAGAGATAAAAGTAACTGTCCTATACTCAAGGCAAAATTCCAATTAACACATAAGCTTTTTGTTTCACAGAACCACAGAGTTCCAAAGTTCAGTCAGGAATACACAAAACTGTGGAGAACAAGAAGAGAAAATGGAGTCAGGGCTGAAGTACTTAAAATTCTGTCCCTTAAAGATGACTACAAGTGACGTGGCTTTCATTTCCATTCTTCTGTCTACTTACCTAGACACATTTAGAATGGAAAGAGGGAGGTTGATGTCTCTTCTTTAGGGATATTAAAGAAACTATGTAGAAGAAATGTCATAAAAATGGCAGTCTAAAGCCAACTTCCCTAAAGGTCACTTTCTAATTAACTGCTGTCTTTTAGAATCCATTTATTCATTAATTCAGTAGTTAATTACATATTTAATGAACAAACCCTTCAGAGGCACTTTTCTATGGTTTAGGGTACACCTATAAAACATTTTTTGTTTGCAATGTAATTCATATTAATTTTAAAACTTGCCATTACATATAGCTGTATAATCATATTGACTTTTTTGAGAAAAAATTACATTTATTTATGTGGGAGGCAGGGGGAAGCTACACCTGACATAGTGCATGGGTGGAAGTTAGAAGACAACCTTTTGGAACTGTTTTCTCCCACTCTTTAGGTCCCAGGATCAAACAGCTTGTGAGACATGCTTCTGTAGTTACTGAGATACATTGACAGTCAATTATTTGTAAAATTCCACATCTCTATGAATACCAAAATTTTATGGTAAACAGCATTTGCATATTCCATTGTGTTGGGTATTTTAGTAACTTGCTCATGTTCCCACAAATCTTTTCACATCATATCAACATTTTTAAAGGTGAACCAAACAACCTATTCTCAACTTTATCATAAAAGATTTCAAAATCTTTGAAGAAAAAATTAAACTTAAGAAAAATTTAAACAGTGTATAACCATTTACATAGGGAAGAATGCTTTTACTAGGCACATGTGATTATTGTCTTAAAGTATACTGGAGTTGATGATGTGAATACAAGTGTGTGGTTGAGAATGAAAACAGAAACCATAAAAGTTATAAGGAACCTACAGAGAGAATAGAAATCCAGACAAATGAGTGAGAAACCAAAGGCCAAAAGACTGATCTCTGGTGTATGTGGAAGAGAATATCTGAAAGATATCTCAACTGAGAGGGAGAGAGAGGCTCAAGGGAGGAGGGAGATGCTGAAATGGTAATGGTGATGAAACACATACTTTTCAAAGACAATATTACAACAAACTTTTCAGTTACCAAAGATTTTAAAATAAAGTCAGTGATGTGACCTCATTTTCATTTTTATAAATCCATTCTTTGTGGTCTTTAGAAAATGACTCAGGAGGGGGAAATTAGATGAAAAGACATACATTTTAAGCTTATTTTAATCTCCCAAGGAAGAACCAGGAATAGGGTATGTTTTCTTACGTGACTAAGAGTGAAAGATCTCAACCTGTTTTTTGAATAGTTTCAGTGTGGCTTTTTTAAATCATTGGTACAACATAAAATTCTCATAATGTGTCTAATGATTTTATCTAGTAATGTGTAAGCCATTTCCTGTATGAGCAGATAAATATTGCTCAGAATAGATTCAGACCAATACAGCAAGCTATGCCTTAACGTGAAGGAGCTCTTCAGTGTAAAGAGAAAAATTCTTACCATTACATTTATATTACATTTTCTTATTGCCTATTCTCCATCCATATTCTAGCTAGAATTCCATGCACTCCATTATTTAAGTTTACCTCAGTGACTATGGCTGATGGTGTTGAGTGAGGCTGGCACTGCAGTACTGTCTGAACGGACAGTGCAGCATTTATTGCTTTGTGTGATGTTCCCAAAGGTATTACATGGCAACCTTTCTCTTCCTCTTTCTCTCTTTCTTTCTCTTTCCACTTACCACTCATTCATTAACGAAATATGCATATGAACACACACACACACACACACACACACACCTACTTTTTCCATTAGTTTTCAGAATAAATGGTGGTATATGATATGAGTCAGTTAAGAGTTATCAACAGGATCATCAAATAAAACAAACTGATTATCTTCTGAGACTACTGAATCAAGAGAAAGCAAGCATTTATATCAAAAGACTGTAATTTTATCAATAATGATAGCAAAGAAAACAGTCAAGGTTAAAATAGATATTATCTCTAGACATGAATCATGAAAAATAAATAACAATTTTTAATCATTAATTGGGGTCAAACAAGCTATCAATTATTGGCTAGATATAATATATCTGTAGTTCATGAGAATAACAAGGAATATGGGGAGAAAACTATAAGCTTAGAAATATCCTCAAGTATGTGATTTTTCTAATGTGACTTTTCAGTTGAAATCAAGATAGTGGCATAAGTCTATTTACATAGATCATTGGAGCAGATTAATCAGTTAATGTACAAACAGAGATATGTAGCTTCCTTTCTGAAGAGTGGTATCAAGAAAAGCTCTTCCAACTGGAGAGGGAGAGGGAGAGGCGTGGGGGAGGAGGAGAGTAGTGGCAGGAGGGGGAGAGAAATGGGAGGCTGGGAGGAGGCGGAAATTTTTTTCAATTAAAAAAAAAAAGAAAATAAGCAACAGCCAAGCAAACAGTCAAGCCAAATAGGCCCACAAATGCATATGTGATTTGATACAGTTTTCT